CCCCAAAACCCCAAAACCCCAAAACCCCTCGAGGCCGAGATAGATTCTTGAATAGTAGTAAAGGATCATATAAAATAAATAATGTTTATAAAAATTAAGGTCTATTTATAGGGATTTATTGATTTTTACACAACTGTATAATTTATATTGTTTGAGAAACTAATGCTATTTGATATATCTCTGAGCAGCTCATTCGCTTGATACTTTTTAGAATTTTTTACTCTTGTTAATAATCTACTCATTCCATTTTTGGAATAAATTAGATTTTACTTGATTAAAGAATTGAGAAATGGAGAATTCATCCTATTATTGCTTCATTCTTAGCCATTCGTTTTTGAGAGTAGAGAAAAATTATTTTGTTGGAATCAACTGTTCAGAGTTGGAATGCTCCTAATTTTATTAATCCTCCACTTGGCTCGATGGTATAAGTGAATGCTTTGTGATATAGTTCATAAATTCCTCGAAAGTTATTGAACTCAGTCTAGTTTTATCGAATCTCAGCCATAGCCCCATTAATTTATTATAGAAATTCTTGGATGGCTTAATGAATCTAATGTTCAAGTCTGTCTCGGATTTAATTTAGGTGGAAATGTCTACTTATTTTTCTTCCTCTTTCTCTGTCTTCAGTTAGTTTAGTGCGTCATTTTTTATCTCAATGATATTTGTAACAAAGTGACTTGTGACTGACTCATTTATTTTTCTTCTTTTAGAAATGACATCAATGCAATCAGATGCTTTGGCCAGTAGATTCTGATAGTCAACGCTATCAGTAAATTCTTAATCGAAAATGGAGTCATCTCTCAAAAGTTACTAAAATCTTTTTCTCTTTAATTTTCTTCTGTTTTCAGAATCATGAAGAGAAAGATTATTAAACTAATCTGGGAGACTTTTGTTCTCGGATGAGTCTTTGTCGGAGATGTCATCCTAGTTTTAATTTTTATTTTTGCTTGGGATAATGTACTCCACCACCCTTTCGGTAGCGACCAGTAAAGGACTTATAACTTTATTTTTTATAATAGAAAATCCGGGGATCAAATTTCTCATTTTGGTTGGGGACCATTTCTTAGACTCTTTCTAGCTTGTCTGGTGATCGCCAGTTATATTGCTAGTTTACTTTTGGATTTAGACTGAGGTACCTTCCTTATTGATCTTTTATTACAGTGACGTACTTTATGAAATCTTTGTTGATTATGAGACGGTACTTGCTGATGTCAGATTAGAACTCCAACTTCCATGGGAAGGTAGCTTCTTTGAGTTGTGCTTGGCTAGAGCCTTTTCGGTTAGCTAGCTAATTGCAAAGCGCTCGTCACTTTCTCGCTTCTTGGTAATATTGGTCATCTCTTTCATCGCTACGTAATAGAAGGTATGCAATAAAGATTTGAAGGTTTATTAATCGACTATTTCGTAAGAAGTCGAAAGGGTATTGCTGCCCTAGAACCAATAGAGTGAGATATCATAGAATTCCTCAAATCTGAGATTCATGTTGAATCTTTAAGAGGCGCTTGATAAGTTCTGAGAATCATTTTTATTAGATCCTCCTTCGAGCGATGACGTAATTTGATGATCATACGTCACGGGCTTGTTATTATTAATTTAATTATCGATGTCAGAGGGAACTTGAGGAACTTCTAAAAGGAAACACTCTAGTAACACTTTTAAAGATTTGTCATTTGAATCATAGCTTTCTTGATCTATATCCATGACGGATTTGTCAGTTGAATTCAATTTTATGGCTTAGGATAGGTATTAAAGCCACAGTTTTCCCAAATTTTTCTGTACGTTATCCTTGAAAATTTGAATATTTTCATATTCTTCGAACCACTCGTTGACATTAATGTCGAAATTTGAGTAGTAACATATTTTTCTTTAGGATATAATCTCTTATTGAGCTTAATCCATTTCGAAATCGTCAAATATTAAGTCTTAGTTATTCATTTCTTGATCACTCATAGTTGAATTTGTTAAAGTAAGTAATAATTAATAAATTAAGTTTAAATTAGAGATTATATAATACCAACCAATGGAATATTAAAAAATCAACGTCATCGTAATAAGAACGATTTATTATAAACATACTATCTTTCATTTAAACAAGCCAAACTGAAATAATTATTTTCTTTTGTTCGGCAATCACTCTTCATATTAAAATTCTCTTCTATTTTCAATAAATTATGGTCCGGGGTTTTGGGGTTTTGGGGTTTTGGGGT